CCCCAGACAACTTTATTTATTAACATACAATTAAAATCACATTTCAGTATAAGTAAAATACCACCACACTTGTGTGTGTGTGTGTGTGTGTGTGTGTGTGTGTGTGTGTGTGTATGCATTTGATGTACATATTTATGGGGGGGTATGCACATATGACTAGAGAATATGTACGCATTTAAAGGCCAGAGGTCAACACTGGGTGTTTTCCTCTATCACACTCCACTGAACTAAGGCTCACTAATTCAGCAAGGCTGCCTGACCAACGAGCTCCAGGGATCCAGCTGTCTCCTAGTGCCCAGCACTGGGGTTACTGACCAGCTCCACCACACCTGACTTGTACAGAGGTGCTGGTGATCTGAACTCAGGTCCTCAGACTTGTGGGCGAGCACTTTACCGACTGAGCATCTGCAAGTCCAAATCTGAGGAACTCCTGCCACTGAGCAGAAACCATCTTCACGGTTTACACAGCACTTTCTCATACACAGTCCTGTGTCATTTAAGGATGTGGATACATCCTGAGTAATGAGTCACTGGGGAATTTTGTCGCTATGTAAGTGTCAAGTCACTTAAACTGACCTAGATGCTGCAGGCTAGTCACTCCATGTGGCCTCCTCTTGTGGCAGATTTGAGATGTGAGGTTCTACCAGACTCACGTAGCATACTATCTTCCAGTAGGCTTTTTTCTTAAATAAGTAAAAGGAATACACCTCAAAATAACAACAAAAATATAGTAAAAAGCTAGGCATGGTGGCACTCAAGAAGCTGAGACAGGAGAATGATAAGTTCTAGGCCAGCTTGGATCACAAAGCAAGAGCCTGCTTCAAATATATATATGAGATCAATAAAGCCAGGAGCATAGTTATTAATTCCCATTATCAGGCATCATGTACTTCATGGAATTGTGTGTACTCACTGCTCCATGAGTGGCAGGGGGTAGGTTTGCTTATTCCTGCAGCATCACAAACATGTAAGCGGTGTGCTGTCCTATGACATTTGACATGTGTTACCAAGCAATGGGACTTGTCCAGCTCCACATTATAATCTTTTTGAATGTGTGTGCCCATGTGAATCTGTATGCATCACATGCTTACAGATGCCCTCAGAGACCAGAGGACATTTGACCACCAGGAAATGGAGTTACAGACATTTGTGAGTCACCTGATATGGGTGCTAGGAAGCACACCCAGATCCTCTGGAGGAGAAGCACTTTCGTGCTAAGCCATCTCTCTAGCCCATCTCTATTATAATCTTAAGGGGCCACCATCATGTCTAGTACATCCTTGACCAAACTGTCACTTTAGGGGACAAAGCTCTATTACTTTAAATTGCCCCTTACAGTTAGAATATGCCCCTTCTCCAGCCACAGATAGGACAGGAACAAAGATCAGTATCGCATGCCACAAGAGTCCCCAAGAGACTAGGATGGGACACCATAGCTTCCATTCAGGAAGTCCATACCGGATCACAAGCTGCTGTCCCCAGAGTCCCAATAGGAATTAGGAATTTCAGAACAAGCATGCAGCTTCCCAGGTTGGCCTAGACTCCTGATCACAGGCCAGGGTTCCTGATATATTCCATTTAACTCTTAAATATATTTAAGCTGAGGTGTTGTGCCCATAGTCCCTACACTAGGGAGATTGAGACAGGAAGATCATCTCACATAGCCTGTCTCAAAAAACAAAATAGGGGGCTGGAGGGATGACTCAGGGGGGTAGAGCACTTGCAAAGGACCCAGGTTTGGTTCCCAGCACTCACATGAGGGCTCAGCCATCAGTAACTCTAGCCCCAGAGGATCCAATGCCCTCTTCTGGCCTCCACAGACACCAGGCACACATGGTGTTTCTGCATACACACTGACGAAACATTAATACATGTAAAAATGTACAAAAGTTGAAAAATCACCCAAAACCAGGCAATGGTGGCGCATGCCTTTAATTGCAGCACTTTGGAGACAGAAGCGGACAGATCTCTGAGTTCAAGGCCAGCCTGATCTACAGAGTAAGTACCAGGACGGCCAGAGCTATACAGAGAAATCCTGTCTCCAAAAACCAAATAAAGAAATGAAAGAAAGAAGCATAATAGCATAACACACTGAGCTCTATCTGCCCTCCTTTGAGACAGGGTATCTCTGTGTGTACAGCCCCACCATGCAGATCATTTCCATATTCACAGACTCAACTTCTCCTTCCATGAAATTTGAAAAGGCAGCACCGAGAAGGGGGAGGAAGGGAGCTGGTTCTCAGGAAAGAAGTGCTCTGGTCATGTGGCATGGTCGATCCATGCAGAATAAAGAATCTCCAAGCAGGGCGGTGGTGGCACACGCGCCGGGCGGTGGTGGCGCACGTCTTTAATCCCAGCACTCGGGAGGCAGAGCCAGGCGGATCTCTGTTGAGTTCGAGGCCAGCCTGGTCTACAGAGTGAGATCCAGGACAGGAACCAAAACTACACAGAGAAACCCTGTCTTGAAAAAGAGCACCACTTTTAACAGGTGGTACTGACTCCGTGAGTTTCTGCTACATTATTTAAAAGGAAGAATAAAGATATCTACGATATCTCCTTCATGGTGCTTCTGTAGATAGATCCAGTTGAAAGGAATAATAAGGTTAATTGATAAAAAGGAAGTAAGGACAGTTAATAAAAGATGAATGGGGAGGCCCAGAAGCCACACCAGTCATCCTGCGCTCACTGTGCAAATCTTCCCTCCCCAGCACTTGACATTTGAGGTGTTGCATTCTAAAGGAAGCTCGTTTAACATTCACAAAGGAAGCTATGTGGGAGAAGCTTGTTAACTCTGGGGACAGAGGCGAAACTGTCCAGGCCAGGTCACCCGACACAGTGAGGCTCTGAGCTATATGTCAAATTACCATAAGAGCTCGGTCCTCGGGTTCCCTCCTGTGAGCCTCCCTGCCATGCTCCACAAGCTGCTTGGCTGCTGCTTGTAATGAATTAAAGATATGTCACAGGTTATCATTAGGATTGTATAATTCCAGCTTCACCTTTGCAAATGAGTTCAGTCTGGGAGCTGGGGGGATAACTCAGTGAGTAGAACGCTTGCCACACAAATATGAAGGCCTGAGTTGGATTTCTGGCACCCAGATAAAGTAAATAAAGTAAATAAATTGTGCGTGTGCGTGTGCGTGTGCGTGTGCGTGTGTGTGTGTGTGTGTGTGTGTGTTAAAGCTAGGCATGGTGGCTTGGCCTACAATCTCAGCCCTGAGGTAGAGAGAAGCAGACCCCAGGAGCTCACTAGCTAGCAAGTCCAGCTTACTCAGCAAGCTCCAGATCAGTTAGAGACCCTGTCTCAAAAAAATGAAGGTAGACAGTGCCTGAGGAATGACACCCAAGGCAGACACCCAAGACCCCTCCACATACACAAGAGTTCAATGAAAACTCTCTCCTGGATCCTAGAACACAATCTACAAAAGAATCTTTTTAACCCAAGTTGTGGTAGGTAGTTGAAGACATTTGATTACTCATAGGAGTCAAGACATGTGCCCACAGTGTTTAGAATCACACTGAGCTGTTTTAATCTTGGTCTGGACTGGGACTGGGGCTCAGTAAGTCAAGCCCTTGCTACCCCAGTACTTAAGAATGGCCCATGAAAGGCTCGTTTCTCCCCCTCCTTAGTTTAGAAAAACCGATACCTCTCTGGGCTCAGGCCCCGGTCACAGTGACAGGGTTAAATACACCAAGAAAGCTGAGCTCGTCAGTAAACACTAGACCACTGCGGTGCCTCCCTCAGAATGGGGGAAGAAAACTGAGATCAGCCAGCATGCCAAGTACACTGGCTCCTCCTGTGGCAAGACCAAGACGGAGAGACGGGCCGTGGGTATCGGGCACTGTGGTTGCCACATGCGAACAGTGGCGTGATGCCCGGACCTGCAACACCGCTTCTGCTGTCACAATCAAGTCTGCCACCCGAGAACCGACAGAGCTAAAAGACCAGCAGAAGCTGCCCTTTCAGACACCGCTAGCCTGCAACAAACGTGTTAGTTTATGTAAAAATAAAGAAAGAAGCTGGACAGCAGTGGCGCATGCCTTTAATCCCAGCACTTGGAGGCAGAGCCAGGCGGATCTCTGTGAGTTCAAGGCCAGCCTGGTCTACAGAGCAAGATCCAGCACAGGCACCAAAACTATACAGAGAAACCCTGTCTCAAAAAACAAACAAAAAGAAAAAAGAAAAAGATGAAAGGCAGGTCTAAGCAACCTTTTCTCTTTATCGTGTCTCTCTGGAAGGATCATCCTGCACTCAGGGAACATGCAGTGTGTTCAACCACACTGGTCTCACACTGCAAGAGGTTGTAATTGGGCACATAAGGAACCCTAGAGCCAACTCAAGGTTACTGAGGCAAACAGGGCTGGAAAAAAAAACTGTCTGTCAAAGTCAAGGATGAGAGCTGAACCCACTCGGATTTCTGAGACTTTCCTCGACTTTCTTTGAACTCATAGAGATCCACCTGCCTCTGCCTCTGCCTCCCAAGTGCTGGGATTAAAGGGGTGCACCACCACTGCCCAGTGAGATCTCTTTTAAAAGATGAATCTGCCCTTAGAATTCATCCCAGTGTTTTATAGGCCTAACATTCTTAAATTCCTATTTGAAATTTCGTGGACCATGCTAACCCCATCTCTTCCCCTGTTGCCCAAACCAGAGAACAAATCCAGAGCTCCCTGCATGCCTCCCAAGGATTCGACCAGCTCCATCTCCAGCCCCAGGCTTGTTTAAAGTCTGAATTATCAGCTCCTAATGAGAAGGACCAAGATTTCTGTGCCCCTTCAACTTACTGCCATTGGTCCTTCCTTTAATGCTCATAACTTCTTTAATATGAGACCTAGAAACAAATCCTGCATTTCCCTAAAAGTTTAATCAGATATATTAATTATATATATTTACAAAGGGGTAGGAAGCTTATTCGCATCTCTTAGTTCTCCTTTTTAAAAAAACACCAGTTAAGACAGACCAGGACAGTCACTATGATGTCAATCATCAGGGTGAACTGAGGTCAAATTTATTATTCATTTTATTCTTCATTCAATTACAGAAAGAAAGAAAAAAAGGTTGAAGACAGGGACCTGAAGAGTATTCCTACCAAACTTGACTTGACAATCTTTTGGCATAGTTTTAGTAGGGCTTCTGCTTCCTGAGTAAGCACAGAAAAATCCAGATGTATCCTGTGGTAGGCCAGAAGGAAGATGTTCTCCCACCATCCTCCTCCAATTTTAATAAGCTTCCAAGTTCTACTTCTGACCACTAGGTGGCCCCAGAACTCTGAAATAGTGAAATAGAAAAACTAGTGATTTGCTGTGAACCTTAGATTAATACCTTCTAAAACTCACACGTCTAAGTAATCTAGATTGTGGCGCCTTTGCCGTCTTCCCGTAATCTCTGCACGGGGGAAGAGTGGGTTTAAAAGCCTATGTGAGCCGTTCCTTTGCTGCCGCCTGCTCGCCGGTGAGCTCCGCGCTGGCCTTCCATCTAGCAGCTTTTCTTTTTGCCACAGCAGCCTCCAGCGCCGTCAGGAGAATGTCTGGGCTTCACCTTGTCAGATTCCTCTGCAAACTTGAATGGATCTCTGATTATATCCTGTCAAAAGGCAAGGCAGCATGAAAGGACAGAGGGGTTTTGATGTACCCAACACTGATATTTCTGTCTGATTTGGGCTGATTTCCCAAGGAGGGAGATCAAATGTTACAGTACCATCCAGACGATGGAGGAGCATCGTCACTCTAGAATTATGATGACCTTTAAAAATAAGCCTGGTGGCACATAATTCTACCCCTGCCCCCAGCAATGGGAAGGTAGAGGCAGGAGGATACAGACTTTAAGGCAGTGAGTTGGAGGCCAGCCTGGGCTACAAACTAAGGAACCAAAGATGGCCCTTTCAGATTTGCTCCTCCAGGGTAAATTTTACTCTAAAGACTGTTCAAGGTAGGGGGAGTTAATTCCTGTTTGTTTTTGTTTTGGAGACAGAGTTCCAATGTAGCCCAGGCTGGCCTCCAACTCACTACGATACTAAGGGATTACTGAGATTACACATATATGCCACTACCAGTTTACATTGTACTGGGGATTGAACCCAGGGCTCTGTGCGTGCAGACAATCACTCTACCAACTGAACTAGATCTCCAGCCCCAAAGTGGCTTTATCGTTGTTGTGTTGAGACAGGCTTACACTGTAGCCCAGGTTTATCCAGAACTCTTGGTGATCCTCCTGCCTCAGTATCCTAAGTGCTGAAGCTACCATACCCTGTTTAAAAGTAGTTTCTGCTGGGCCAGGAGAGTTCATTTCACCCGACTGATTCTGCCCTGTGAGATTCTCAGAAGCATGTGCCTTTTTACCTTTGGAACGAAAATTCTGAAATGCTAAAACTTCCCTGCCTACGCCTTAGTCTCCGGAAATATGTACATAAGACAAGAAGTTAAGCTGGAGGTACCAGTACACCCATGGATGTCCAGATTAGAGATGGCCATCCACAGTCACTCTGGCCTTAGAGCACAGAGTACAGGTCTCTGAGGAGACACAGTTGTCTTTAGTTTTCTTTTTACCTCCAAACGAGCTGCTTCTTATAGCAGCCCCAGTGGACCAGGAGCCAGCTGGGGCCAAAGATAAGGAACAGGGGCACGAACAAGTCTCCCTAAGGGAGATAAGCTGCTAAGTTCGCACTCTCACTACGACTGATGGGCATTCCAACAGGAGCATGTACGGCCGTTATAGAGACTCACAGCCTCGTTCAAATGGTGGTCACGCCCTCGCTTGCCCTCAGTTCCCACTTTTCGTTTATGTTAAGGGTTTGCTTATTTTTATTTTACGAGTATGGGTGTTTTCCTTGAATGAATGTCTGTGCGCCACAAGTGTGCAATGCCTGTGGGGGCCGGAAGTCAGATCCCCCAGAACTGGAGTTACAGGTGGTGTGAGCTGCCATGTGGGTGCTGGCAGCCAAACCTGGGTCCTCTGCTAAAGAAACAAGTGCTCTTAATTAGTGAGCCATCTGTCTGTCCATCCTATTTCCACCTTTCTTTTCTTCTTCTTTTTTTTTTTTTTTTTTTTTTTTTTTGGTTTTTCGAGACAGGGTTTCTCTGTGTAGTTTTAATGCCTGTCCTGGATCTTGCTCTGTAGACCAGGCTGGCCTCGAACTCACAGAGATCTGCCTGGCTCTGCCTCCTGAGTGCTGAGATTAAAGGCGTGCGCCACCACCGCCCGGCCTATTTCCACCTTTCTAACGTCAAAAGGTCACCCTGGACCTGGGCTTTGTATCCAGCAGAACAGCAGGGCTGCTGTTCCTGCCGCCATGGAGCCCTCACCTCCACGGCATGCCTTTCTCTTTGGGGCACCGGGGGCCCTCACCTCCACGGCATGCCTTTCTCTTTGGGGCACCGGGGGCCCTCACCTCCACGGCATGCCTTTCTCTTTGGGGCACCGGGGGCCCTCACCTCCACGGCATGCCTTTCTTTCTCTTTGGGGCACCGGGGGCCCTCACCTCCACAGCACGCCTTTCTCTTTGGGGTACTGGGGGCCCTCACCTCCACGGCATGCCTTTCTTTCTCTTTGGGGCACTGGGGGCCCTCACCTCCACGGCATGCCTTTCTCTTTGGGGCACTGATGTGATGGTTCATGGTAAGCAGAGTTAGCCACTCTTCTCTCTGACTCATAAAAACCATTTCCAGAGACAAGGAGATGGCTCAGTGGGAAAAGTGCTCAGCGCAGAAGCATGAGGCCTGAGTTCAGATATTAGCATCTACATAAAAGGCCAGACATGGCTGCACATGCCTGTAACTCCAGCACTGAGCAGGGTGGAGACAGGAGGATCCCTGGAGCTCACTGGTCATCCAGTGTAGCTGAAACAATGAGCTGCAGGTTCAGTGCATGAGCCTGTCCCCCAAAAATGGGGCCGAGAGTGATCGAGACAGGTACCAGACATTTACCTGTACTCTCTGCACATGCACACACAGGCATGTCCACCTGTGTGTGCATAAAAATACACACATGCACACACATGCATACACCACACAAACACACACACAAATGATTTTTCATACCCTCCTTCCCTTTCGGTGTTCTATCTACTAATAGGAACTTATCAACATCATTTCCAAATGTGTGTTTCTGGTCCTGAAAGACTAGAATGAAATGGGAGTTGGGGGCATCTGAACAAGCATCCCGTTGCAGCACAAGCCCCCGTGATTCTGTAAAAAGGATGCAGGGTGCAGCATGCTGGTTGAAGTGCCCACTCTAGAAACAGATGTGTGTTCTAACTTCTAGCTGTGTGGTCTTGGATGAGGAAATTCATCTCCCTGCATCTCAGCTTCCTCATCGATAGGAGAAGCATCATAAAGGTCATTGTGAGGACTACACAGCACCTTGAACACGTGACTGTCCCATAAATCTTTGCACTGCTAAATTGTTCCACTTGCTTATGTTATCACCACCATCCTACCGGCTGCAGCAAGACATTCCCCACAGACCCGGCTTGCATCACTGCAGATGCTGCCTCGTCTTAACAATGTAACTCTTTGATTTGATACAAGGTCTCCTATAATCCAGGCTGGCCTTGAATATGTAGCTGAGGATGGCCTTGAACTCCTGATCTTCCTGCCTCCATCTCTCACTCCAGGCACATGCTGTCACTCCCAGCAATAATGTAACTTTTGAAATGGCTAAACTATACTTTACTTGTCAGGATTTAAAAAAAGAAACAGGCAACATCATGAGTTCAATCCCCAGCAACGGAAAAAAAAAAAAAAAGAGAAAAAGAAAAAATACAGAGAGGAAGAGGAAAAAGAGGAGGAAGAGGAGGAGGTCTCAAGTCTTCCACAAGCCAGTCTGTAGCAAACCAGCATCACTCACAAACCAGCATCATCCACAAACCAGCATCATCCACAAACCAGCATCACTCACAAACCAGCATCACTCACAAACCAGCATCATCCACAAACCAGCATCATCCACAAACCAGCATTATCCACAAACCAGCATCATCCACAAACCAGCATCATCCACAAACCAGCATCACTCACAAACCAGCATCATCCACAAACCAGCATCATCCACAAACCAGCATCACTCACAAACCAGCATCATCCACGCCTCCGTGGCAGCTGCTGGAGGACAAATACAATTTCCTGCAGGCTCAGTACAGCAGGGCTTATCATCAAGTTTTTCCATAAAAATGTTAAGTATCTCCTCCTCCAAGAGAGTGCAAGGCTATGTCTCTAGGTCACACAGCTGTTTCATCTTGATGCCCGGCTGGCTGCAAACAGAACCAGAAGAGTTACATCTTGAGAGAGAGAGAGTGTGGGTGTCTACCTCTTTCTACGCCTCTAACCTTACTTTGAAACTGGGAAAACATGATACCAAGTAAGGTCCTAGCTTGCTGTTGGGTGGGCTGGAGGCAAAGAGTGAGATAAGAAATAGGTCCAAGCTGTTATCTTGCAGTGAGAATGGATGCGGAAGGCTGGAATACCTGGGAAGAGAGGCTTGAAGGAGAAACTGAGGCTGCTGATGGAGGTTGGTGACTCTTTGCCTATGAGCCTTGCCTTTTCAGTTGGCCTTATCGGAGTCAAGAGGCCAGCAGAAAGGCAGAGCGTGTGCTGTGTGGGAAGGCTGTCCACTCAAGGAACCACACACTCAGTACTGTACTGATGTACAATACATGGATCCTGCAGGCACCGTCACATTGAATCTGAAAAGTGAGAGCCTGGAACATGGAGGCTGTGACATTTCTCTGGTGAGAAATAAAGCTGAGATAATTAATAACAGTGTCAATTCATGTGGCCCTTAGGCAGCACCTGGATAGTGCCCACCACAACCAAAGAAATCATTGTAGTACAGACTGGATCACCTTGGGCATGAGAGAGACATGGCCAAATTGGAGCAGGGGTGGGGGGAGGTGGGGGGGTGGGGGGGGACCTGCCAGGACAAAAGCACCCTGTGAGAAGCCCTGAGGAAGCCCGGGGCACTGCCTGAACTGAGCAGCAACAAACCACTCACACCCAGCATTTCAGGATCTGTGAAGGCATGTTCATGCACAGAATGGAAAACAGGCTGTCAAAACACTCCTTGAGAACAGCATGGTCCTTCCCCCACAGGTCAGGCTATTGCCAACTTGGGACAGACTGATGTCCCAAGATGGCCAGAACAGGGTGTGATTTGTCACCAAGTCTGACGGGAAAAAGGGACAAATCAAAGTGAGAAAAAAGAAATAGAGGGCAGGTTAAGACAACAAGAAAGCTGGTGTGACATGGCTTGCTTTGGGCAGCTCTCCTGGGAAGACAGACCTACAAGCTTCCAGAGTCTCACAAGGCTTTGGGAAGGACCTTAAACCTCCATGAGAGGAACAGCATTTCCTAGGAAGGTGAGCAGGTTCTATAATCCAGCATTAATGGCAAAACAAGATGGATCCACCAACTTCCTGGGGCTAGGATAGAGTTGGAGGTGCCTCATAGCAAGAGTTATAGAGAATGACCTGAGTCTCACACGGAGTTGACTAGTTCTCGAAGACAAAGATATGTGGGCACTGAAAGTATACGACTCCAAAGCAAGAATGTTCTGTAGGGTTGGGGACAGCTACTGAAGTTTGTAAGGCA